TACCTCGCCAAGAGCATCCTGCCAAGACTGTAAATATGCAATCTGTATACACAACGAATTCACAACCAAGCAAATAATGCCGAAAATGCCTAACAGACTTAACAACTCCCAAGGTTTCCAATTCATAAGAATGGTATCTGGACTCAGCAGGGGAAGTTGTTTTACTAAAATATTCCTTGCATATAAATTGCCTCGGATACTGTGGTCAAATATTATAAGCACTGGCTCATTTGTAAGAACCGCAATGATTTGTTTTCTATTTGCTTTCAATTCATCATTCCAACTAAACGTTTTTGCTCGAAGTTAGTGAATATATCAGTTTCATAATCTGAGAGAATTGAGGCACGAATTTACGGAAATAAGACCCCAATCCAATGAATTTTCACACACTACTAATTGTTGGTGGCGGATTAGGTCCCAACTCTCCAGCTCGCACCACATACCCCATGTACTCTACAGTAGCTTTTAGAAACCTACATTTAGCAATATTGAATGAGAATCCAGCCGTAGTCAGCACATCTCTCAAAACCCAATTCTATTGTTGGTGATATTACCATGATATCGTCCATGTACACTATCACGTATTTGGCATTGCCAAATACTTGTATTGCCCTTCAGATGTCACAAAAGCAGTATATTCAATAGTATCAGGGTGAATCTTATGGTACCCGCTAGCCATATCTAAACACGTAAAATACTTTGAACCCCTGAGTTGAGCAATTTGGTCATTAATAAGTGGCAAAGGAAACCTATCAGAAACCGTACTGGTGTTTAGCTCACGATAATCAATGCAAAGGCGGTCTGATCCATTTTTCTTTTTAACCAATAATATAGGACTAGGATAGGAATAACAACAAGGTCAAATGATGTTACAGTTTAACAATTAATTAAATTTATATGAACGCCTCTGCACCGTCTTGTAAGGGTCTATTAACCTAATGGTGATTTCACCTGTATTAACCTTTGTGCAAGAGATACCATCAATAAATGCTGCTGAATAGTTTTTAAGTTATTTAGTCAAGTTTTCTTTGTCGATACCAAGTAATTCAGTATCAATATTAAATGAAGGAGCAGATTACAATATCATTGGTGAGATGCTTTTCTGATATAATAATATATATAAAATAGTATTTTTATGATATTTGCGTTAATCGAACATATGCATAACTTTTGGAGCTTGCCATCAAAATTATCGGCAACACTGCTTCGAATAAGCGAGCACTCCGCTCCAAAGTCAAAATAAATTGGAAAGGCCTCACCTCGGTGTATCATAACTTCCTTTGGCACAGACACAGAGCACTGATTACATTTCTTCTCGGAAACCACTCCAGATTTTGTTGCATTACTCGCGCAGTGAATTGCAAGATGTCCAAGTTGTCCACATCGGTAACAGTTTACACTCCGCAAGTCTCGCTGTGGTTTATTTTCCGATTCAGAACGTTTAAGCTTACAGTCCGCCATTTTGTGTCCTGTTTTCTTGCGTAAGTGGCACACAACTTTTGCTCGCTTGTAGTCACCACTACCTTCATCAGAAACTTTAGCACTGCGCTTTTTGTCAGTTCCATTTGAAGTTGACTTCTCGTTTGTATATTGGACGAGAACACCATGCGCTGCAAACGACTGTCGAAATTTGCCATGCGTGCAAGCACAGTTGATGCAGCTATTTCCTCTGTACTCATGTTTCGCTATTTTGATGTTAGGGTCGTGACCATGCGGCTTGCATATAGTGCAAGGCACTCGCAGCAGGTTCAAGAATGTAGCTGCTGAAGTTTCCTTAATTTCGAAACGCTGCACAAACAATTCTTTGAACTGTTCCCGGGATAACAGATCTGCGTAAGCCACGGTGAAGCACTGCCCTACATACAGCTGCTCAACAACACAATAACCACGCTTCCATCGACCGGCTGCTCATCTATAATTTTGCTTGCTGTTGCACACCATTGAGGTTAAATTTTGGTAAATCCACATGATTTTGCTGACTCGCAGACGCCTGCGTTATGGAAATGTGCAATTCCATAAAATTCCGATAATGCATTTCCAAAATAGCAAGCCACTGATCGGTAGACAATGCAGGAGTTGGCACAGATGCCACTGCTGATGTCGGGTTATCATTATGGTTTTCTTGCGGGTTGCTACTCATATTTATACCCTGAACCCATTAAAAATGGGTATAAGCGTATATTGTATTTGTGCAAAATCCAAATGTATGTAACAGGCAGAAGGATGCATCTCCGACCCCATAAAGTATATATATTCTTGATCAGCATCAAGTCGATCTAGCCATGTCCGTCTGTCCGTCCGTCCGTCCGTCTGTCTGTCTGTCCGTCCGTCCGTTCGTCCGTATGTATGAACGCAAGTCTCTTTGAACCTATAAGAGCTAGAGACTTGAAATTTTAGATGTAGGTGCTCCTAGTTCTCGAGCAGATCGAGTTTGTTTCCGATAATCGATAACTTATTTCGTTTCCAAGCAATCGATAAAAATCGATATGGATATCCCGTTTTTTTTGGCAATTTTGGTAAATAATAAGAGCTAAAGTCACCAAACTTGACATAACCACTAAAATAGAATATATATATATACATTTGATGTTGGAAGAAGAGGGTTTAGGGTATCCCATAGTCGGAAGCTCCAGACTAGAACCTCTTAATTGTTTCACTCTCGTTTGATCACTCCAATTACTTAAAATACATATAAAATATACTAGCGGGTATAGCCCGACCTTGCCCCTGGCACGTATTAAATAAATGCTCTCAAAAAGGTTTGACATTGATTTTAAAACTGATCGGACATTAAATAATCAACTTTCATACCAACGTTTTCCACCAATTTACCACTGTTGCGGGTTGAATTTGTCAAATCGTTAAAGCACATATTCATGAAGTTGTTATGTATAGCCTTAAAAATAATTTTGATGCAAATCGAAAAAAATTAAAACATCCCCAAAATATGTTTGAATTGCACCTTTTTTCTGCGAAAAATCTAAAACAGGTCTCAATTGATTTTTATAATGGATCCTTGGAGATGAATTTAAGCGCGAAACTTCACCCACCAAATCTTTGACAGCCATTCCCACCAATGGATGGATTTTCCAATAGGTGTGTAACACCCCTAAATAAATTTGAGCAAAGATCTTTGAAAATGAGTTTGAGGCCGATCCGATTGTTAACAAAAAAGTTGCGTTTTTAATTAATTAACCACTGTTGTAGGTGGAATTTCCCACATCGTGCGTAGAGCTTTGAAAATAAATTTGAGGCAAATCGGACACGACTTAAAACTTCTCCCAAAATATCTTTGAATCGCATTTCTACCGAAGGAGTTTAGATTTTGCGAAAATTGTGGAACTCGTCTCAAATAATTTTCCATATAAATCCTTGAAAATGAGTTTGAGGGCGAAACGTCATCCACAATAATGTAGATGTATATGTATTTTTTATTTGTATATGTATATATGTTGTTCACACAAGTGTGTTCACACAAGAAGTGTATCCGGCAGTCGCCATCCAACCGCCATGTAACTCCGGGACCAGTACAGGGAACACGAAATTCACCTCACTTACACTAATACATTGTAATGTACTCTGAAAATAGAGAAGAAAAAATAACCTGCAAGCGAGAAACGTGTTTTCTCGAAAACCTGCACCTTTGTGCATAGCAGAAACTCTCCCCCAACGATACAGAATTAGCAAAGTTCAGCTGGAAGCCCTGCAGACGCCCTTCTACAACATTTTGGTCCTTCGAGCCGGATACTTCAGCTACATTTGGCATGTCCAGTTCGCCCCAGCAAGCATTGGTGGATCTGCAATAAAAGGTCCCAGGAACAGCTACACATTCAAACCAGATAAGTAGCAGTGCACCAGTCCGATTAAGTCATATTTGTGTGTCTGAACATATTTTTTCGCTTCACATGTCCGTGGTTAAAGCGAGTGGCAATTGTGTTTAAAAAATTCAAAAACAAAAAACCGCAAATAAAATATTGTTTGTGGCCATAAAGGCATCTACAAAGTGACAAATATTAAAACAAATAAAACAGAAAGTGACTCCAATAAGGTCGCCATATTGGTGTCTGTACATATGTACATATGTATATACATATATGTACAAGTGCATACCCAAAAATTTAACCAATCGCCATATTGATGTACGCAACTACATCAAGACATATCTGCACACATAGGCTTTCGCTCCGTTGAACACCAAGTGTATGCGCTTCTCCATTCTAACCTTCACCAAATAATCACATACCTAAATATAAAAAATAAGACACACAATTCTGATTGGTCTTTAGTTAATTACAACCACACTGTGCAAATTCACCTGCAACTATACACACACACGCACATCATATTATATGTGTATCGTTTGCTATTTTTCCTCCACTGCAGCTTCAAGATCAATTTATACATTTATTTTTACCAATTAATTGGCAAGTGCAAAAGGTAAACAAACATCAGGATTGTCAAGTATCAAGATCGTTTTTCGATACACTTTTTCTGAGAAACTTTTATATTTTGTATGTTTCCACTTTGCCATTGAGCTGCGTTCTTAACTTAATAAAATACAAACATATGCATTACTTTTTCTTATTCTTATAAAAATTTATAAATCATAATTATAAGTCAAGACGTTTCCAAGTTGCATAATAAATCGAATATCCGTGCGATTTTTCATAAAATAACAAATTATACAAATAATTCTATGACAGAAAACCTTCCATTGAGCTGCGTTTAGAATAAACGTCCTTTTCTTGAGCTCAACAATTAATAAGCAATAAGCATCAATTTAGTAAATTATTGGTAAAATAATTAATTTAACAAAACTTTCCGATTTCGTTGGACTCAATAGTGAACGCCATTTCGGTCATTCCATTTTTTTCTGATATCTCGATTCCATTGTTCCTGTGCCATTTCTTAGTCCGTTTTCGCTCGGCTGATTCAAATTATTTGTATTTGATCACATTTCACCTGGTTATTACAATTTCTGGCTCTGTGAAGAGCCTAGTATGCCAATCGGTGGTGATCAAAACAGCCACAAACGACACACAGCACCGTCCGTTAAGGAGTCAAAGCGACCTTTAACCTCATCTAGTGCAGTTTTCGGGAAACTCAAGGTCGAGAGTTCCAGCACAACCGTCCGCAAGACTGTGAGTCCGGTTCCAACAAGAGATATTATCCCAAAAATTACCCGTTCAACTACGCAAAAAATGCAGAAGTCAAGCGAAATGGCACTGAACGACTTTGTTTCTATAACTGACCGACTAGGCCAGTTTGAAGTGAAGATCAATGACGCAGCGGACAGTGACGTGTCACTGTTCACTCTCCAAGTCCGACGAGATCAGATTAAGACTTTATGTTCCAAAGCTCTCAACCAAGGCGCTTGCAGCAGCAGTGACCTGGTGGCTACGCAAGCCAAACATGATTACTCGTACTCCGTTTACGAGCGTTGTGCGGCTGAACTAAGTGAAAAAATAGAAAGAGCCACGGCTTTAAATAGACAAGCTGAGCAAACCGCCTCCAACTTCATCATGTCCAGGGGTTGCAGTCTCCCGCCATGCGACACTGAAGTTTTCAGTGGAGATTACCTACGCTGGCCTACTTTCCGAGACTTGTTTACAGCGGTTTATATTAACAATCCAAGATTGACGCCGGTGGAAAAATTGTTCCATCTAAATTCCAGAACCAGCGGCGAAGCTAGGGCAATTGTCTCCAAGTCCCCGCTCACGAATGACGGCTTTCAGTCAGCTTTCAGTGGGCGAGCCTGACGGAGAGATTTGAGAATAAGCGACTATTAGTCAATAGTCAACTGAAAATTCTTTTCAATCTCCCCTCAGCAACACAAGAGTCTGGAGCCGCCCTTAAAGAGCTTCAGGGCACAATCCAGGGATGTTTAACGGCTCTCGACTTGTTCAGGGTGAGCACGGAAAATTGGGATTGTCTGCTTATTTTCTTGTGCTCCTCTAAATTGCCTAAGCTCACGATGTCGTTATGGGAACAATCACTCCACGATAAGGCAGAGATACCTCAATGGTCCGAGATGAATTCATTTCTGATCGACCGATATCGCACCTTGGAGGCGATAGAGGATGTACGACCTACCGCACATACGCCACCCCAGTCCAAGCCCACAAGAAAAGAGTCCAACCACCTGAGAACTTTCGAAGCAACAGTGACTACAAAGTCACAACACTGCAAATTGTGTCAGAAGGAAAACCATTCCGTGCGTCTATGCCCACGTTTTCTACAAATGTCCGTACCCGAGAGAGTTTCCGTCATTAAGCAACAAAAGTTATGCTTAAACTGCTTCGCCAGACTGCACCAGTTGAAAGACTGCACCAGCGCACATAGTTGTTTCACGTGCAAGGGACGTCACAACACGCTGCTCCACCGTGACAGACCCCAGGTGACCTCAGCTTCCACAACACCAATAGTTTTGAACCCTCCTTCGTCTATACAGTCCACTTCGACTTCAACCCAAGCTACCGTACAAAACTACTTTTCCGCAAACTCACATGGTGTTTTCCTCGGCACGGCTGTCATCCAAGTGTGTCATTTGGGCACAAAGTATACAGCTCGGGCATTAATCGACTCTGGGTCTGAAGCGACCTTTATTTCAGAGCGATTGTTCAAAAGGGTTAAACTTCCTTATCAACCCGTCGACGCACAGGTCTCCGGTTTGAATCAAGCTATTTCAGCTCAACCTCAAAAACTTTGCCATTTTAATATTGTCTCTCCGATAAAGCCCAGGGTTCATATTGAAACCTCGGCTTATGTTCTTCCAAAGCTAGCAGGCAATTTGCCCTCCTACACCATCCCCCAAACCGCTTTGGAAGAACTTCCAAAATTACACTTGGCCGATCCCTCTTTCTATAGAAGCTCACAGATAAACGTGCTTCTCGGCGCCGATATCCTCCCATCCATATTGTTAGGTGGTTCCCATCACAAAATATGTGGCACTCTCCTTGGTCAAGAAACGATTTTCGGCTGGATCCTTACAGGCCCCGTTTCTAAGACCAGTGCCAGATCTGTCGCATCCTTTTCGACTCAAGTCTCGCTGAATCCAATGCGAGCTTGGATAAACTGCTCACAAAATTTTGGGAGGTGGAGGATATTCCAGTAAAGCTGGAAAAGGAATCCGACCTGTTTTGTGAGCGCACTTTCCAAAAAACCACTAAAAGGGATAAAAACGGAAGATACTTGGTCACACTACCATTAAAGAATTCCGATCACATCCACTTAGGCCATTCAAGGTCCATCGCACTAGCTCAATTTCTACGAAATGAGAATCGTCTGGCAAAAAATGCCCCCCTTAAGGAGCAGTACGATGCGGTGATCCAGGAATATCTGGACTTAGGTCACATTCGACAAGTCCCTCCAAGCAATGGTTCGGATAACTTTTATCTACCACACCATGCTGTTCACAAGCCTGACAGCACCACGACCAAGCTCCGCGTTGTATTTAATGCCACCCACCCGTCATCGAATGGTAAAAGTCTGAACGATGTGAATCATGCAGGGCCCGTTCTGCAATTCGACTTAACCATTCAAATTCTAAGATGGCGCTTCTTCCGATATGTCTTCAACGCCGATATCACGAAAATGTATCGGCAGATACTTGTGCATCCCAAACACACGCCCTATCAGAGGATTCTGTTTCGAACAAAGGACAACGAACTTCGTGACTTCGAACTCGGCACAGTCACGTTTGGAGTTAACTGTGTTCCCTTTTTAGCCATCCGGGTACTACATCAGTGACGTTCGTTCGCTCTATCCCCTAGCAAGTCACATTATCGCAAACAATATGTATGTCGACGATGTACTAGCGGGACCCAATTCCAAATCAACGGCAGATCAAGCAATTGCAGAACTCCGCAAAGCCCTTGAATCTGCCGGGTTCCCCTTGCGAAAATGGACATCCAATGAAAAGGACTTGCTAAGAGCGATTCCCAAGGACCACTTGCTTCGCGCCGACTTCTTAGAGATCAAAGAAGCCTGTTCGGCAAAGACTCTCGGGATCAGATGGAAAGCTGACACCGATGAGTTCTTTTTCGCTCCATCCGAGCTAACAACCAAACAGTCCGTCTCCAAACGTGAAGTCCTTTCACAGATGACCAAACTGTTCGATCCAGCAGGTTGGCTGGGTCCAGTCATTATTCAGGCAAAAATATTCATGCAGGAGATCTGGCTCCAAGAACTGGGCTGGGACGATCCGCTACCTGAGAGTCTTCTCAGTAAGTGGAATTAATTTCTGCAAGAGTATCCGGGCCTTAGTGCTATTCGCATCCCTAGATGGGTCGAATTCCGCCCACAGGGGACTATTCAATACCACGGGTTTTGTGCCGCTTTGCAGCGTGCATAAGATACAAGATCGCATCTCAGTACATCTCCTAACAGCGCTCCGGTCAAGACGGTATCCTTGCAACGACTAGAGCTGTGCGGAGCAGCACTTCTGTAAGAGTTATCCGCTGCACTCAGTCCCCAGCTACCTTCCGCTGGCGGCGACTGGTTCTATTGGATAGATTCCACAATTATGCTAGCTTTGCTTCATAAGCCACCATGCGCCTGGACTACCTTTGTAGCAAACAGAGTCGCAAAAATTACTAAGGCCACCAACTCCAATAAATGGTCCCATGTACGATCCGAGTACAATCCAGCGGACCTAGCGAGCAGAGGTGCCCCACCACAAGTGTTAATCAACAATGAGCTGGGGTGGCACGGGCCAGAATGGTTACGCCTACCTCAGAACCAATGGCCCATTCCTTCAGATCCCCTCCCAGATACGACAATAGAGCAACGTACGATTAAAGTAAACCTCGCAAACACGGCTCCCTCATTTTCTTTCCTCGAGCGCTTCTCCAAGTTCGATCGAGCCCTGCGAGTGTTAGCATACACCATACACATGTGCATATTCGCGTCTTCTGACTGCTTTCACCCATCTTATATCCTTGCATGGAGGCAACCAGCTCATGATGCGTTTAATACGATCACAGAACTGGATTCCAAAGCTGAAGGTGTTGGTCAAATCCACAATCCATTCCTGCAAAATCTGCGTCATCTAAAAAAAGAAACTGCAAACGCAGCTCATGGGCTACTTACCTGTGGAGAGAGTCACATTCTCTCGCCGTTCACTCACACAGGAGTCGATTTTGCAGGCCCCTTCGATGTGAAAAATTACACAGGTCGAGCCTGTCTTATTACAAAAGGCTACGTGTGCGTCTTTGTGTTCTTCAGCACCAAAGCCATCCACCTAGAAGCTACATCTGACCTGACCACAGAAAAATTCCTAGCGGCATTTGCGAGATTTGTGGCACGACGAGGGTGCCCAAGTCAAATGCATTCCGACAACGGCAAAACCTTCGTCGGAGCGGCCAAAGTCCTCTCCCGCGATTTTGTAGAAGCGCTTAAGACTCAACTCCAGGCCACTTACAGTCTCCATAAAATGTCGTGGCACTTCAACCCTCCTAGTGCACCGCATATGGGTGGCCTGTGGGAGGCAGGTGTAAAGAGTTTCAAAAATTTATTTTATAAGTCTACATCGACCTCCAAATACACCTTCGAAGAGCTTTCCACGCTCCTATCCAAAGTTGAAGCATGCCTGAATTCAAGACCGATATCTCCAATGTCGGAAGATCCTACTGATCTCCTAGCTCTGACTCCCGGTCATTTTCTAGTCGGGGGTTCTTTACTTTCCGCAACAGAGCCAGAGATCAAGGAAAACGCCGCGTCCTACATCAACCGCTGGCAGCGCTTGAAGGCTTTGGACAAACAGTTCTGTCTCCGTTGGAAACATGAGTATCTTTTAGAGTTACACAAAAGAAACAAATGGCAAACTCCAACGCGAGACTTACAACGGGACAATCTAGTCAGTATTAAAGAAGATAATCTTCCAGTTAATGACTGGCGTCTTGGTCGAATCCAAACGACCTATCCTGGCGACGACCAAAGAGTCCGAGTGGTCGACGTGTTAACAGCCCGAGGTGTCTCCAAGAGACCGATCTCTAAGCTGATCCTGCTCCCGATAGAATCTAGTCTCCTTTCTAGATCCATTGGTCTGCGGACCATCCGTATAAAGCCGCATCAGTAATGTCTATTATGTATTTTTTCAACCTTCTTCACGTAACAGCACGATGTCTCCACGCCAACAACA